GCACGATACTGACAATCGCTGTAGTGTTTCAGCTGCGCAGCTGAAGTGATGCACGTTCGCTGTGAAATTTTACCTGACCCTTGAACTGGCTTTGTCTTATTCCAGCTGTTCCATGCATGTTGCTCACAGCCATGCAGCAACTTTGGCATGTAGCTTTGTGGAATAACTTTTAGTTTTTCTAGGATGCATATGTGTGTCTAATCTATAAGAAAGCAGTCATTAATGTGTTGACCTTAATATTAAGGTAGATGATGAGAAGAATTTAGAGAAAAGTCAGACTACAGGCTACAACTCAGATACTGTTGTACACAATGAACTGTTTTTTTTACCAGAAAAGCCACCTACATTGTCAACATGTACAAAGAATGTATATCTAAAACGAAGCAACTCCTTGTTATATTTTCTAACTCTGTTAGATGTTGGGGTTTTTTTGACAAGTTGATTCACAGTTCACAAATATCTTCAGTTACTGTTTTGGTCAGTGTATTAAAGCTTCTGATAAGAAGCAAATTAGAGGAAAATATAGCAACTAGAAAAAATAATGACGTAACATTTTTATTTCTCAAAATACATTAGCTCTTCATAGTCCTCTGATATATTGAATTTGGGGGACTTTTGAAAGCCTGTTATTACTGCATTTTGAATTAATCTGAATGGCTTTAATGGACTGCTTAAAAGCAAATGATACTTTGTCAAGAAAAGCATAATTAAAAAAACTTAAAGAATGGCTCTTCAGGAGACCACAGGTTTGAAACCAAAGTTTCCATTAGTCTTTCAACTCTGTGTAGTGATCTTGTATGTTCTGCTCTAATATTCCACAAAATAAGCATATTTAAATTGACTGAATAATATCAGTTTTGTGAATCTATTTATGTAGGTTCAACTAGTCTGTTTGCAAATCCAGTACACGCATTATCAGTTCTGCTTAAAGAAACAATAGAAAGCTTTGCTTCTACATGTAAATGCAATCACCTCCCCTTCATAAAGTTAAATTGGCTTTATTTAAGCACTTATGCTGCTTAGGTCTAGTCACCCTGAAATAAGCTATTGAGGATATTGTCATTTAATCCAGGGTGTATTGCGCTACTCTTCAGCTTTCAGCAAGTTTACATCAGTATAATGGAAACAGAAGGGAGATGCCATAATTCAGATACAAAAGAACAAGTACTCTCTGTGTCATAGATGACACATCATTCTGGTTTTGAGACAGGGCTTTCAAAAGGTTAACAATATGTATTGCTTCAATTTTATATGCCAGACTTCAAAAATAAGGAGACTGATTCAGAGATGTTCAGAATGATTTCTGAGTATCAACCTTCACAAAATTTTGTAAGGTTTGGCTGCCCAGCATCATTAGCTATTTTGTAAAAACTTGGTCTCTGACAGACTGAAACCACTGAAAATCATGTCTTAAAACGCTGAGGTTTCTTACTTTGCCCAAGGATTTTTGAAGCAATAGACTTAAGTGACTTATGACTTAAAACCAAAATACAAACACCAATGCCTATACCAATACCACAGCCCGTGATATCTAGGTGCTTCAAACAACTTTTTTAAAACAAGAAGCATAAGGCAAAAGACATAGTGTTGAACAGTCTTTAAAGTAGTATTAAAAAGTAATAATGTACAGCCTGGACAGGAGAAGGCTTTTTTAATTCTTGTTTATGGTAACAGTTCTACTGATGAAGCAAAACAAGCTGTGAAGCAACACTCACTTTCTGTCTTCCTCGTATGGACTCCCAAAAGCTTAAAGAACAATCTTAGCGTAAGAAATAAATTCCACCTTCTTGCTTGAAGATGGACTGATATTTTCAAATCTTCTTGCAACAAGGAGAAAACTGTTTACAATAGTTTCACAGCTAGAGTTGCTATTTAAATTAAATTTGAAATAGTTTCATAAGTAAATTAATTACTGGTGTCTGAAAACTTGAAAAATTACAATAAAATGTTAACAGTACTCTGTAATTTCTCTTTTTACTTTAATCTTTATTCAAGGTTTTTATGTTTCTCAGATAAACACTTGTCATTCTTAATTACTTGTTTGCAATTCGAAGTGGAACATTTGAGTAACCATCAAACTCTTACAGAATTTGATAGATATAGGTGGAGCAAAGCAAGAAAGTCTCAAAGATCTCATATTTCTACTCAGCTTTAAAGTAAATTAGAACCTTCTATATGCTATCATCCCAAGTCCTGCTTAGCTGATATCTCCCAATTTTAAAGGCAAATAAAGGTATATGCACATTTTCTGCCTCCTATGTAGAAGAAAACATTCCTTTCTGACCTTTGCAAATGATCTGTTTACATCCTGAAGCATAAGATTTCATTACCCTTATCTTAGTAGGCATATGAACCAGTGTTAGTAGCCATGAAATTATTCAATGCTTTTAAGAATTCCAGCTGCAGTATCTGACTCTCTAGCCTCTTTAAGGCTGACTGCACACAGTGTATGACATTTTCTTTCATTTCCTTTAATTCAGTTGACATTCATTTCATTTGTATGATGAAAGAAAAAAGGAAGATTTCAGTTGCAGGCTCCTTATAATCCTAAATATTTCACTCAAAAGTAATTCGAAAAGCTTTTCAATGTTAAATATTACAGCAGCACCTTGTTCTTTTGAGAAAAGTCCTTCAGAATTCAGCATTAGTGTAACAAATTTTTAAAGAAAATTCTTTATTATGTTGTGGCATGATCAAGTAACAGGTACTTTGTTTGTTGTTATAACTAACTCAAATTTCATCCTTTGATGAAATACCTTTGTTCCTTGCTATTTTTATATTGGTAACCAGTGCTTTCAGATATTGTGTGCTTACTCTGAAAATTACTCAAATTTTAGATTTGGAAATTGAGACCTAGAAATTGAGCAATTTAGCCAAGATCATGTAAGGGAAGTCAGTGACAAGGCAGGGACAGACTCAAGACTCACATCCCGTACTGTTATCTCAACTTACTAGAAAAATCTCTACTCTTAGAGAAAAGCTTCTCAGCTAATGCTGTCTGCCACAGACTCCATAATCTAGGAATTCACCTAACAATGTGCGTAGTACACCTTGCCCTCACAACAGTACTGAAAGTACCAATCCTATTTAAATATTTCCATGTCTACTTGCTTGTTAGATGGTTCTGCATGGGGAAAAAGTAAATCTAAAATATGCCTAATCTTTAGGAAAACTTATTTTTTCTTTTTTGCTAATAGCGTTATAGCTTACTGAAAAGGTAACTGCATCGAGCTGATCTTTCAGATCTCATCTAAGTATATTTAGTTGACATTTATCTTGCCTTTTTAAATAAAATTATCATAGCTCTAAAACTACAGTAATACAGAATATTTACCTCATGATTAAACAGGCCAGTTTCGAAACATGCCTGACAGCATATGGCAAGCTTCTTTCTAAAAAGCTGGTGGAGGGCAGGGAGGTTCAGAAAATAGAACCATGGAGTGATGTATTGAATTGGAGTTCAACATTATCATAATCCAATACACAAAGTAGTTTGTCACTCATAGGAGGATACAAAAGCTGCAGAGCTCTTTCTGAAAGCAGGTGTCATATCTCGGTAGTCCCTCGATGTAAGAGCTTTTACAGTGCTCTTGTACAGTCGCTTTCCAGAGACTTCCCACTGGGATCACTGCTGTTGCATAGTGGCAGATGCATCCTTGCGCTTACTGGGCTATCTCTAGGAGCCAAGAGCAGGAGTTTGTTTCTGATTTTTCTTGAAAAGATGTTTGGCTTTACTGAAGAAGTTGTAGTCGTTGTTGTTGGGGAGTTTTTCCCTCCCTCTGTTCACTGCCAACTGGGCAAGATGCAGTGCAACTATTCTGGCCAACAGCCAGTTGTCTGAAGCAAAATACTAACTTTCAGAATGGAGCCTTGCAAGAAAGTGTGCAGTGGTAGAAAGGAGTTGGCTGTAAATTCATTACAAAAAGTGAATTCATGTTCTTTAATTCACATTGTTATGTTTTGTCGGTTAACTTTTACACAATTTCAGGCATAATCTCTGATGTCAAAGAGAAAAAACTGACTTAAAAAATACTGACTGTACATCATATCTTTGTGAAAGACTTCCTATCGATGATGTAAATCTACTTGTGGTTGTCAAGTGTCCCTTGAACTCATTTCCATTAATCTGGTGAAGGCCTGAATTCACTGTGGTACTTAGGAGGTGCTGATATTGTTCCTGCTATGTCACCAGATCAGTTACTAAGAGGCTTGCTAGAGAACGAACAAAGAATCTACACAGGATCTGAATCAGAAATTAAGAGATTACAATACTTTTATTTAAATGGAATAATTGGATACTTTGGAAATGGGATGTTAGTGAAACTGTTGATAGCTGCAGCACTTGTCTTTACTTTTCAGGAAACAATGTTATTTTTCTCTTAAGGGTCTCTCCTTTAATTAATTATAATTACATGCTCTCACTAGGGCCTAGCTTGCAACCACCATAATTCTGTTTTCATTAAATCAATTTATAATTTGAGAATTTGTTAATGAGAATTTACTTAGTGAATTTTGTGACACAAGAAAAAACAGTAGTTACTGATTAACACTATAAGAATTAATGTGAAGATACTTCTTCACCTTCACCTTTCTACACCTTCATGTGTTGAGCCTGAGTTTGTAAATCAATGGGACAAAAGACTCAGCACTGCTTATATCGAAATAAATGTGGATAGCTCATTTCTTCTCAACTCATAACAAATGGTAGAGATTCAGTCTAACATAGAAATGGTGCTCGAAAGAATCGTCTTACCTAGAAATCTGAAACATTTAAGCTGTTCTCCAACTGAGTGCCTACAAGTAGTTTGGAAATATGAGATTGAGCCTTTAAGAATTAAATAATCTTGTGGTTGGTTAAAATTTTTCCAACATTCTTGTTACTGACTCTGAAATGTGTATTTGTGTAGAAAGTTGGTGATTTGGGGATTGATTTTTTTTTTTCTTTTTGTTTTTCTTCCCCAAAATACTTAACTTGGGCTTCTTTTCTAATTTTATTTCAGCTGGACAGCTTAGCCAATCAGCACATTTTGCTCTGCAGTTGCCATACAATGTGCTAGGCTTGGGACGTAGTGCTAATTTCCTCGACCATTTGTATGTTGGCATTCCTCGTCCTTTAGGAGAAAAGGTTAGTTGAGATTTAAGACTGTCAAGCTGATATTTATGGTGTTACCTTTCCTAATAGAGTTCAGATGGAAATACTGCTAGGGACACTTCTTTTTTTCAGAAGCAAGAATATCAAAGACATAAGTTTGAATACAGAAAAGTTTGCCAAAAAGAACCTTGTATGCCTGTTTTCTGGGAGGTGTGTAAGCTCTGAGGCTAACACTAAGACCAAAAGATGACTGAAGTTGTCTGTAAATGTTAGCACAGGTATATAGTGCTTGTTTATATGGTAAATGTGTATTAGATATGATTGTCCAATTACTGTGGTCTCAGCTGTAAGTCTTTCCTGGGGCTGGCTGGCTGGCCTGTAAACTCACGTAATCCTTTTGGCCTCAGTGATAAAACCATGATCAGTATGTTGGGAAGTGGAGATTAACATGATTATCTAATCTGCAGGTAAAACATAAAAGTAGGGTCCTAACCATTCTTTAAAGATCTGACAATACTACTTTAAAAAGTGAGGTATTTGAATTAGTGTACTGGCCAAATTCTGATTTGGATAATTGCTTTGCCTGCTTGCTGTGTAGAATTGGTTCTTTTCTTCTTTCCTTGTTAAGTTGTTGCTTTGTACTTTTTAAGCAGATGCTGTGTTTCATGTCAACAATAGTTATTTTGCTTTTTACTTCTTTTGGTTTTTTTAAAAGCACTTCGGAGCTTTCAGAATAAAAGGTTTATACAAACATAAAGGAATAATCACTTACAATTAAACAAACCAGCTTTTTTGTTATTTCTCCTTTTGTGTTTCAACACAGAGTTTCTTTGCTTTTAAGTAAGTTGGTTTGTTAGAAATTGACATAGCCTTTGTTTTTCTTTCAGTCCGTAAGAAAACAAGAATGGACAGCTATCATACCAAACTCCCAGCTTATAGTCATCCCCTATCCTCATAATGTTCCTCGAAGGTAATGTCATCATTTTGATTTGCACTTCACAGAATTACATTAATTTTAGAGTTTAAATTAGGCATTGTGAGTAGGTTTAAAAATAGTCACTTGTATAGAAAGTAAATTTAAGAAAAATGGCAGGGGGGTCTGTTCTGTAGATGTAGTTGCCTCTGGTGACTACACAGAATACTTGTCAAGTATTTACAGACTCTTAGATAGTGCCCATAAACAATCAGAATCTATTACCAGATCATACAATCAATCAAAATGTATTACCAGCTCAACTCCTGTAAATAATAACATTTGCTAGATTTGCCAACGTTCTTTTTGACAAATTGCAAGTATGGTAACAATTGAAGCAAGCATTTTTATTTCACCAAACATGCAATTTCTGCCTAGTTGCACATAAAAGCTTTAGTTCAGCCCTTCTGAACATAGTATCTGTTGCCACAGGTATGAATGTTTCTCTTCGAGGTGAATGAGTTGGTTACACAAGAGCTTGAACACTGATTTCACTTTGCAATTAAAATGTTTATCCCAGAAAGAGAGCATGTTTCTCTCTTTGCTATTAGAGAAAACATTAGTCACATATTCCAGCTGCTTTTTGCCGCTTGATCTACTAGTGAGGTCAGTTGCATTTATCATGCAGAAATGATTCTGACATCAGTTTCAGCAGTTAATTTTACTATAGGACAAAAAACAGTTGAGAAGTGAGATGTGCCACTTGAGTTGCTAATTAACAACCACAGGAATAACGTCTGCCAGATGAAGAAAATCTAGTTATAGTCTTGAGGTATTTAGAGGTGTGTGTTATGCAAAAATTTTTCTGTCATCTTATGCTTGAGCTATTTTTGCTTTCCTATAAAGTAAGTTTATGGACACTGTAGAATAGCAGAGGATAGAATCCCCAGGAGAAATCAGATCTCATAATAAAGAAATTTCTAATTTTTAACATAGATAGGTTGTTCTCTGAGAGGCCTCAGCGCTGCCTCAGCATAGAGCCTCTTACTGACAGCCTTCCCATGATAGGATGCCTGTAGTACAAAAAGAGCATCAGGACCCCACAACATTCGAGCAATGTCTTCGAGAAGCCCTTAAAAGTGCTTAATTTTGTTGCTCTCCAACATTCTTCTTCCATAATGAACTGGTTCTGTTGCCTACCACTGCAGTTGTCCCAGGGTAAACTTCAGACTGAGAGATGCTTAACCAACTGGACCCTACGAGCCTGTCCAAGAGGAGCTTCTCATGTGGAGAAAACAATCTATTGTACAGGCTTATTTAACCCTGCTCCTCCATCTCCTCAAGCCCCAGGCAGTTTTGTGGAAAGTTTTCCTATGTGTTTTACTTGGTCCTGGGCAGGGACAGGAGATAAATCTCCCAATGAGGGAAAAAAAAAAAAAGTCATTTCCTGAGGATATCCATAGCATTTCTGGAAAGTTAAACAGAAATTTAACTTAGACATGGCATTACCTGAAAATAATTGTATTAAGCCGTATATTTCCAAGTAAACACCATTAAGCTTCAGTCTTTAAGTGTAGCCACTAGTTTCTGTAGACCCAAGTTGTTACCTGTCTTATAAAGAGTAAAAGAACCTGCTAATATAAGTTAAATCTTTTTTCTGCTTCTTAATGAAGGATATTAACGTTGCCTTGCATTTTCCTCTTTTGCATAGCTGGAGTGCCAAGCTGTATCTGACCCCAAGTAACATTGTGCTGCTAACAGCTATAGCCTTAATTGGTGTCTGCGTTTTCATCCTGGCAATAATTGGAATATTACACTGGCAAGAAAAGGTAAGCTTAATTAACTAGATTATTTTCTATATTTTCTATACTATTTAACACTTCCTAATATTTTACAGTCTTGTACATTGGTTTTTTCTCAGTAGTTTTCTACAGTATAATTTCTGAGACAGACTGCATTAATTCCCAAAAGGTTTTTATTACTAATTCAGTATTTACTGCAAGCTTAAAAATTAGCATTGTTTTTATTTAAGCTCTAAGACACTTAAAAAGGGAAATGCAGAGCAACATGGAGAAGCTTTTGCCATTAAGCTATTATTCCAAACTAAATGAGACATTCTCGTTTCATATCTAAGCCTTCTATCTTGCAGAGTTTTAAGGAGTACTGTTTTGGAAAATGGAACATAAACTCTTGAGTTCTGCTGGTAATCTAAAAATAAGGAAAATGTCTTTCTGTCTATCTTTGCTGATTGCACTGACATTAGCATTCAAGACTGTATAGGGAGTAAATTGTGTGCATATTGGCTGCTTTGCTCTATGTGTCTGAATTATACATGCAGTGTACAGAAATCCATTGATTTGAAGAAGCATTTTGAAAGAGGCCTTTCATGTCACAAAAGAAATGCGTTCCCATTTTTCTTAACTATGCTCAGTTCACAATCATACCCAACTGGCAGGATTGCCAATAAATGCTACTACATACCCAAACCATAATCTTAGCTGTCAAATAAAATTACTGCATATTTTGACGTGGTAGAACCATTTGTTATTTTGTGCTTGTGGAAATAAAATGACCTTGTTAAACATTCAGATAGGCTTTGTGCATGCTTCATCTTCAAATAAAACACATAAAGCAAAGAAATACTAAGTTTATGATGACTGTCCTTGGCATGTCCTACTGTACCAAGAAAACATTGCTGACTGGTAGCTAGGACTATGCACAGGCTGGGTTTTATTCTGTCTACAACACATCTTAAGCAACAAGAGTAGCAGAAAGAGTACTTGGACTTTGAGTTGGGGTAGGATTAACAATATACGATTTCACCTGGAGAAATGGAGATTTAATGTCAAAGTATAAAACAATTCTTCATATAATAATCCATGTATTGCAATGTAAAGAAGCACCCAGCCCAGAGTGAGTGCTTTCTGAGCCATTTTAAACTCAATTAGGTGTATGTGAATGAAATGGTTATAAACTCATTTCCAACAGCTGCATCTTGCTTAAAATAGACACAAATATTTGATAAATTGTGTGTATTTTCAGACTACTATATAAACATTTGCTAGTTCCTGTAATTTTCCGATGCCCTCCTATTGTTTTTTACCTTCCCAACTTTTAGAAGAATTGGTTGGAGTACAGAACAATTAAGAATCTTGACTAAGGCTGTATTGTGCATCACTGAGAGTTAAATTCCAAAGTTCCTTGTTTCTAAGTTTGTTCTTGCTTTACTGCCTCTTTCAGTAATCCTCTCACAAAAATACTGTTCTGCCTAAACACTGTTTTCACTTACAGATCTCTAGAGTACCTGTAGCAAAGAAAGGAAGCGGAAATGTACTGGCAGTTAGAATCTCTCCTCTTTTCCCCAAGAGGATATATCTGTCTGTAAGCTGCAGTGTTTTATTCAGCAGATAAAATACACCATGTACTTTGACCTCTGCAGAGGTCTACAGTAGGTCTTATACACTCGTCTTCCAGCCAAGTATTGTGTTATTTAAATAATTGTAGGATTTAGAGATAGTATGTTGCTCTGTCATTCCATAGATATTTTGGTTTCATTAAAAAAAAAAAAAAATCTTGGTTACTAGTTTTTAGTTTTCATACATCAAATGAAAGAGAAATTGAGCACGAATTTACACCATTATTTACCTTACATCAATATAGTCTGCTACATTAGCTAAGGACCTTGATATTCCTGTATTCTGGTTCTTTATGACTTGCTTTGTGGTCTTGAGGTTAGTCGTGAGCACTGCACATTGATGATAGTACTGCTGGAGAAGTTGTGATGGATTCATCAGAGTATCAGTTACTGTCAAATTTGAAGTAGTAATTTTTCCAGGAAGCATACAAGAAATGGAGTGAAAATTGCCTTCTAAGTGAGACTATAAAGTTTCGTGCAATGTGACAAGCATTTCGATGTAGGAAAGAGTATGCCACTCCCTTCTTCCCACCCCATTTTTGACATTCAAAATACTATTGATATTGAAGAAGTCCCTGCCAAAAAATGAGACTGATATATCTTAAACTTCACCGACAGCTCTGCTGCTGCCACAAAGCACAGTAAAATCCATAGTTAATCCAATGGAGTTGCTATCGTACATAAACAGTGTGATGAGGAAATCTTTGGCCTTGAGCCAAAGCAGATGACAAACTTTCATGGCAGAACACATGCACTGGTTTCTACCAAAATTTTCATGTATATTTATCAACTGAGACACAAATCTGAATGCCCACACAACAGCATACTGTAAAGGCCTTTCATTTTACTCATAAAAAAAAAAGGTAAGGTATAAGCAAGCTAAAAAGCTTTTAAATCTGTTTTGCTATATTCTCTTATGCTAGGATTTACACATACTGTCTGTCATGACAAAAACACTGCTTTCTAGAAAAGTTCACACTACGTGTTCAAAATCCTTTAATAAGTGCTTGCTGCTTTAGAACACAAGAGGAGGCTTGTGGGGGAGGACGTAGTTTTACTCATTACATGGATTATAGGTACAATTTAAATATGCTGCTTTTTCCAAGCACCATCCAAACTACTTTTTCAGCAGATCAATGTGTGTTCTGCATAAATAAGCAGGGAAAAGCATCCTACCTCACATTTTGTAGTACAAACAAAAATGTGAAACATTTTTAGTCTACTTGGTGCTGCTAATTGTTGGTCGAACTGCCATCTTTGTCTAAATTTGTATTTAACAAACATTTTTAAAGAGAATCATAGAATGATTTGGGTTGGAAGGCACCTTAAAGATCATCTAGTTCCAGTCCCTCTACCATGGGCACGGACACCTTCCACTAGGTCAGCTCGTTTTAAGAATCAGCTCATTTGAAGAATTTAATTTTAGAATCTCATTTTAAGTGTAACATGGATGACATTTACAGTTAATTCAGAGTAATTTCATCTGATATTTATAATGCAGACCAAATAGATGCATACTAGAAAATATTCTTCATTTTTGAAATATTCCTTTTAAAAAAGCATTATTAGAAATAATAGAAAATAATGGGTCATAAATACTAGAACAGCTGAGCATTAACAGCGGAAGCCAATTTTGAGTAGATTATTGCTATTTCAAACTTGACATCATTTAAAAGCTAATTATTGGGGCTTTTACTAAGCTTTTTGCCTTTTGTCAAATGAGTGACTTGGAAAAGATCGACCATTCTCTGACGTTTGACAACTCATTTCTGTAACAGTATTGCTCTAGATCCCACAAAGTGTTTTTTATTATTATTATTTTTCAGAAAGCTGATGACAGAGAGAAGCGACAGGAGGCTCATCGGTTCCATTTTGATGCTATGTGACATGCCTTAATATTTATGAAGGAGCTGCTACTCATTTGCTTAATTGAAATACTAAATTCTGATTTGTAAAAATGATTACCGTGAAAATACTGCTGGTGTGTTATTTGTAAATGTTGTGTTATTTGGTATTTATTTGGAAAGTATTAAAATTAGACCTGAATGTTTCACAAGGCTTTTCAGTTAATAGACTGTATATAATGGCATTTGGTCTTTGTTTAACAGAACTGTAAATTTATTTTTCTTAGTAAAGGGATCATATTGCATGTACCATTGTTTACAAACCACCCATCTTAGTAATATTTGATAGAAAGAAAGCTGTGTAAATAAAATTTAGCATTTCAGCGAGCGGAGTACTTTGTGCCACATGAATTGGCCTTGTCATTTATACGTTCCTGCAAAACAACCTACATTTCTGAAAATTAAGCTTGAGCAATTTCTCAGATTAGTTGATCATTAATTATTTTGATTGTACTAAATGGAGCTCAGTGTAAAGTATTCTGTATTTTTCTCCGTTTAAATCCATATGTGCAATAGTTAAAGAATTTAGGAACTGGAGAACTGAAAGAAACCTGCAATGTTAATGCTAGTTGAGTAGCTTATCATGGGATAGATGCAGTATTTATGTGTGATAGTTCTAGAGAGAAGACAACGCTTTAAAAAATTAAAATCATAAAAATGTATCAGCATTACATAAACTGCTTTTATAATTAAAATATAACCACATTTATTTTAGAAAGGCCTAAAGCCATTATGAAAGTAACTTTTTTTTTTTCTTACTTATAAGAAAGGTATGGGATTTTTTTTGTTTGGGTTTTGGTTTTGAAGTAAAAGAAACATTTTGGAGCAGAAGGACAATAACAATAGACTCACTAACTTTTATTGCTAAAGGATGAGATATACAAAGATTAAATTAAGAATATAATAGGATACTGGGAATAAGCAGTGTATGTTATCTATGTATACTACTATGCCCAAATTTCATAAGGCTGTAATAATTACATAAGACAAATAGCTCAACTTTATACATTTAAAATAATTATAAAGGTAGGATCACTCAGTGTACTTTGGATCCTGGAAGAGTCTCTAAAAATAACCATGCTTTTATTTAATAGTTACTCCATTGTGATATGAGTTTACATGATTAATTGTGCATTTGAATCTGTAAATTTGCATTCCTACTAAATACTGTTTGATAAACTAGAGCACGCTCTCTGAACAAACTACAGAATGTTGGTCTTACAGGTAGTCACCTCTGCAATAGGCATCTCCTGGTCTGGCATGTGCCCTGTTACACTGCCTGTGCTCCTCAATGCAGGAACAGAAAAGAGAGAGCAGGTACAAAGCTGAACTGATTGTGTCCACCTTGAATCACCGTCAAAGAAGTCGTTACCATGGCAGTGCTGAACAGTGGCCCATTCATACAGCACCACCAAGCCAAAAATCAGAGAAGTACTGATAAGAGGTCTGCTAAGCTGTGAAGTTTTACCAGATATTTCTAACATGAACTGATTGGATGCCAACAAAGGAGACTTTCATGTTACGTTACTGTTGTTATTCAGGATAGCCGATTTCCTTAACACACACCTTTAATATTTCTCTTATAGCAGCATGAAAAGGGAAGATTTTGTACATTAAATATTTCATGCTGTTAGACTTTTTAAACCCAATTCATAGAATTTGCTCCTGACAGTAAAAGTAACAGCAGATTTCATAATTAAGAGGAAGCACAATTCAATGTATTTTCCTGTCTTTATCAGGTGGTTGGAGAATAAGGCTAAATGCATAATGCCACTGTGGCAGCAAAGTTGTCTGTAGCCCTCTATCACAATATAATAAACATAGATTAGCCTCCTTATGTTTTCGGAAAAACAATTAGGAAAGAAATAACCTCATGCTGACATTAAAGCTGTTGTCAAGTTAACAAAACAATGAACTCAGTATCTTTTGCTTTAAGGTATTCTGCATGCTCAGTAGTGCATCATTGCATCACTTCATCTACAATACATTGTTGGTGCTTTAATAGCTTTCTTACAAAAAGTTTACCACAGGTTCTAACTACTCATAGCTTGGCTCACAACAGTATATGCGAAATATTTTGAATTAAGGCATTAAATATTGTTAAACCTCTTGTCAAAGGTTTCATGTTGTACTTTGGTTTTCTATTCTTTAAGCATCAGAAATATGTTTGGGTAAGGTTATTACCCTTCTACTAGTAAGTTTAAGAAACTGGAAAATTAGAGAGTGTAGTTTCAGGTGATCATCACAGTAATGGAGAAGTGAGAAATAGATCTAACTACATAAATTTTCAAAATGCATCCACCATAACACAGCCCTGGTGAGAAACGCTATTGGAAGCCGCCTTCAGTGTGAAATCTCACCTATATAAAAATACTGTTGACATGCCAACTGACAGATGGCTGTTGAAATACCATCTTTCTTTGTTCTCATTTTCCATGAGAAGGTTTAAGACCGAATCTTCCTACCAGATTTATCATTAATGCACTATAATCCCCCTACAAAAGAACCAACTTTTCTGCTGCAGATGAATAGGCATATTCTATATAGTATGTTATTGCTCCTATGGTGAGGCCATCTTCCTTAACAGACAGCTGTATTAAATACATTAATTGAAAAGTAATCACTATAAATGCACCATGTCAATTCTGGACTTTAATAACTGTTTTCAAATAAATGACGCCTAAATAGAAGAGAAGTCAATCTATAAGTTTATTATATAAATAAATCTATAAATATAAATAAATCTATGAGTATATTATAATCATCAGAACTTAGTTTTGTTAAAACAATGTGAAAGCATTAACCATGCCAGTTTTGAAGGTATTAATATCCAAAATAATTCTTTTTTAAAATCAGAAAATAAAATTATACTTAAAATAATCTTGAACTTTGCGAATAAATACTAATTCTAAAGGTATGGGTATATTTTTTGATCAGAGACTGAGAAGTATGTCAAGAAATCAAGAGCAATAGAGATGTTAAATCTGAAATATTACTATGCTGTCTCGGTAGCCCTGTTACCCATTCTATTTCTTTTTTCCATTTTAGAGAGAGGATCTTTTTGTTGAGGCACTAGTAATATTGGCCTCAGCCGTCACTTTGAAAACAGTCAGCCACACATCACTATTTTTATAATTAATTCCTGTCTTCCACAAAAAATATGATCCCATCTATGATACAATTCATAAAAATTGTAAAATATATGCTAACCTTATTTTGAAATTCCTGAATTTACCAACTTAAGCCAGAAAAGTTTGTAGGTATTCTAACACTCGGATCTAATTATATTGCCTAGCAAATAGAGAAACGCAGAGCGGGCTCTGTGAAGACTATCAGTATTCTTCATGACTAGCTGAAAGTTTGCAGTGTTCTTAATAATAAATAACAAAGCAAATTATACATTTTTGTGTATGATTATATATTATGCTACCAGACTCAGAGGCACTTGGACCTTCTATCACTTTCTAATTAGAAATTCTGTCAGATAGAAAGTCAAACGCACCTAAATCCTAGTGACAGACCTGGATACTGGAACAGTTAAAATGTAACTCCTAACTTACTTTCATAATTATTCACAGTTGACATCTATGTGTAGTAAAAGTACTGGTCTAAGGCTATTTGTGATGTACAATCTGCTACTCAAGAGCAGCAAATACTTTGTTATATTAAAATTAAAACATCTAGCAGAACAGCAAACCAAAGGAAAGTTCTAAGGAAGAACTGCTGGGAGGAGGCAAAACCAGTTCTGAGAATGGAAATTTAAGCCTTTTATGCAGCAGAGTGCCTGTTGTAACTAACTCATTCTGTAACTGTTCATGCAGGTATTTACCTACATGAAAATGAGCAGTCCCATTGCCTTCTGTGAACTACTCCCATTCAAAAATAATCATCATGACTCAATAGAGCAGTAGGACAATACACAACTGGCTATCCAAAAGCTGTCTTCAACCTTTCCGAACACCCAAACTCACAATTAATTAACTCTGGTTTACTGTCATCTTGACCCAGTGGCAGACGGTTTTCTTCACTGGAAACTAGCACTCTGCAGGCTCGGAAAATGGGAAGTGAAAGTTTACTAGTTTACTATAAAATACTGTAAAACACCACCTATAACCAGAACTCTAGCAAGACAAAGCGACAGAGATGTCCACATGAGAAACTTCTCTGAAGGCAGCAAACGATAGCAGAATATGCCCCAAATCTACGAGTTGGTGCAATTAACCTGCATCTCCTGTGCTGACAGCTTGGCACAGCCCTGGGAAAAGAACGGGATGGAAAAGCTACTATGCTTCTCCAAGTGTGTAATAGCTCCGTTCCACCTTCTAATGGACAAACTAGAAGTTCAACTTTTCAGTTAAATTGACTGTAGCAGATTGGGTCTTTGCAATTACTACCAACTTGTATTAAGCACAGGGTATTACTAGGTTTTTCACCTATTTCTTTGGTGTGAGACAATTGACCGCAAATAGTTTTCTTGAATGCAAATTCAGCTTGAAATCTGAGAATCAGGCTAGTTCACTCATTTCTTATATCATCATAAGTAATAAAAATCGGAGCCAAATTTTGCCATCAGCTACACTGTGCATTCCAAAAAAAATAAAAATAAAAAAGCAGCCCCTTGTCTCCTAACAATCTGCACAACAGCATAGTCAGATTTTAAGATTTTAATTTTGTGCTTACGTACTTGCAGAGAGGATAAAAAATTGTGGATGATGCACAGACGCAGTAGAAGTTATTAGTCTGTTAGGTATTTTCTTGAAGTACTACAGTAAACATTTTTGTTAGTAAAGAAAAAAATGCAAAGTAGATCCACACCTAGTGAGGACTTCTCTTTATGTAGGAGTTTTCACTATAGAATTTAACATTGCAACACACCACCATAAAAACATGGTTAAGAGGTGAATAGAGAGAAATTGCTTTATCGCTGCTGGAATGCAGCAGCTATTTAACAATTCATGGGAAAACTACGCTTTGAGAAGGACTATATCATCTCTATTTGAAATTGAAAGGACAATTCGAGTAAGCGGAATAATATAATTATGTAACTTGGGACTTTGCCAGAGCATCAAGCGTAATACTTCATCAACCTTCTTAAAACACTGAGATGGGTCTTTAAACCCCAGAAAAGCTCGGGACCTTTACTGTAAGGTCTCGCCGGGTCTGCCCTGCGCCCCGTGGCCGAGCGGGCGCAGGAGCGCTCGGAGGGGCAAGTGCCACCGCCCGCACCGCAGCCCCGCGGGGCTCCGCTCCGGCTTCGCCCAGCTGCTCTTCGGTCCCTGCTTGCTTAATTCGCCGTAACTGACAGTGGTATTGATTTGAAGAGCCTGAAGAATTTAACTGGTAATCTGAAGCAAGACAATGACCTTTTCTAACAGGATACGCTGACCTTTGAACGTGAATTTTACATTCAAACGCATAGCACCACGCCACAGGGAAATCAGAGGCACGTTCGAGGCTGTAGTGAGCG